AAATTCTCAATCAATCAATCAAAAGAAGCAACACTGCCTGTCACATTTTTTATATTATTACTATTATTTATTTGTTTATTAGGCTTATATTTTGTGTTATTAATCTGAATCTGCAAAGTAACTAAAGTCATCAGATACATGTAGTGAATTAAAAACCTCTATAATGTAGGACTGTATAAATATTAAGTATAAATTATACCTTAAAATGATTCTTACAGGCTACAGTACTAGCCTCCTTCCTACTTTAGGTTATTATTTATTTATTTATTTATTTTTTTAAAAGCAGAAGAAAATAACTCCTCTGAGTCAATAAAAATAAGAAAACAAAGAAACTTACTTCTTGATTAGCTGTAAAGAATCATACATTTTCTTGAATTTTCTGGAAATAAAGCCTACATATGAAATATATTTACCCTACAAGAATAATATACATATAGATGTCTATCCTTAAAATAAGAGTTAATAAGAATTAAGCAGCATGAAATAAAGTCAAGTGAGTAACAAGAGTTTCAGTGAAAGGACAGGATGAGATCATGGAGCAGGAAAATGTTGTTTGTGTTGTTATTTTTTTGCCTAATTTCAGGTATTTTCATTTGTATTTGTTCCAATGTTAACTGCAACTGTGTTCAGAAATGAGTCTATACATTTGAGTCGTGTCACGTTTAGATTAAACGTTTAGGACTGCTATACAAGAGGCTACTGAGATCATTATAGATAAATAAATGAATAAATACTCCATTCAACATCTTACTCAAGAAGTATTCAGCGAAGTCAACCTAGTATCAAAACTGAAAATGTCGACTGTGGGTGTTATATTATTATATTTTACTGTTAATTTAAAGTAGTTTATATAACATTCTGTTGTTAAATACTTTAATCTAGATTTTATAGGTGGATCATATGTTTTGGATGTAGAGTCAAATTAAATTGTAGCTACAGCTGTCAGATAAATGTAGTAAAAAGTAAAAAATATTTCTTCTGAAATGGAGTTAAGTACACTTTCTGTGATTTGGTCATATAGTCTGAATGGAGATGATTGATTGATTGATTGGTTGATTGACTCAGTTTGATCACTAACTGCTGTTCTTTACTTTGCTATGATGTCTCTCTCTCTCTCTCTGTCAGGCATAGTATCCCTGGTGTCTCTCTCTCTGCTGTCCTTTCAGCGGTACTCTGTGGTGCTCCGGAGGACACAGCCGGACTCCTCTCAGTACCGCCGGGCCAGGCTCGCTGTCGTCGCCTCCTGGCTCTACTCGCTGGTCTGGACTCTGCCGCCGCTGCTGGGCTGGAGCAGGTCTGCATACAGCCCCTGATATCAACCAACCACTCCTCTCATAAGATCATTCACTAGGACTTAGTTATGTTAAATAAATCAGAGCATATGTTGTGTGTTATGGAGCAGCTACGGGCCGGAGGGTCCCGGCACCACCTGCTCGGTCCAGTGGCACCAGCGCTCGGCCACAGCTCGCTCCTACATCAGCTGTTTGTTCATCTTCTGCCTGCTCCTGCCACTGCTGCTCATGATCTTCTGCTACGGGAGGATCCTGCTGGCTCTGCGAGCGGTGGCGAGGCAGGTGAGCGCCCAGAACACGTGACCTTTGACCTCTGTGTAATGTGTGTGACGTCAGAACTCCCTGCTACTCACTGTGTCCACCAGGGTCACTGAAAGAAGTCTATGTGTGTGTGTGTGTGTGTGTGTGTGTGTGTGCAGGTCAGCAGGATCAACCCATCCTCAGCTGAGCGGAGGGAAGGCCGCGTCCTTCTGATGGTGGTCTCCATGGTGACGGGCTACCTGCTGTGCTGGATGCCATATGGTGTCATGGCGTTGCTCGCTTCCTTTGGACGGCCCGGTGTGGTACCGCCTGCCGCCAGTTTGATCCCCTCACTGCTGGCAAAGAGCAGCACCATCCTCAACCCGGTTATTTATGTGCTGCTCAACAACCAGGTAACAGCAACTCCCTGTAAAAACTACAAAAACTACAAAACTACACAGTCCTCAGAGCATTGTTAGGTGATTCAGTTCCCTTTGTTTAATCTAAAATAATAATAAGATTCAGTTTTATTCAACTCCAAACAAAACAAAACTACAGAGGGCTTTGCTAGGCCTCACCAATTAACTGATAGGTTGAGTCTCAGTGTTTCATCATTTTATATCCAATATAATTATAATAACACACCATAGTTCTAGTTACAAGACCACTGATTTAGTCTAAAGTTAAACTTCTATAACATTTTCAGACTCTCAGTGGACTAAAAAAAGGATTAAAATCAATGCAGCAGAACCAGATATATTATATATATATATATATTCTCTTTATTCCACGCTTTAAAAGGTCCAGGATGTAACATTTAGGATCTATTGGCAGAATTGGAATATAATATTCATAAATTAGTTTTTTGCTCAGGAACACGGCCACAGCTCTTATTTTGCCGCCTCTCTCAGTTCTACAGGTGTTTTCTGTACATGATCAGGTGCGGCTCAGAAGCTCCGCCCACCCCGGTCCACCACACACTGCCCAGCAGGAGGGGTGCGTGGCTTCAAGCCCTCAACCCGCCCACCGAGGAACAGAACACGGAGACTCCCATGTTCCCATCCAGACAGCTGCAGGTAGAGCAGCCTGCCCTGGTGCTAGTGGAACATTGTGCAACATAGAAGTTATTTTAGCTGCATTATCAATAAAAAAAAACGACTTTTTTCAATTTATTTGAGATATTTTGTAACACAAATGTTACAAAAAAACTATGCTACAGGAAAGATTTTTGTTCTGTTTTATTTGACTGGTTTTGTTGATGTTAGTCCACTGTTAAACTTTGTGGTCTAGCCATATGGGCGTGTGTATGTAGTTTACTTTAAACTACAATTTAATGATATATGTTAACAGTCAGCAGCCCAATCTGTCTCAGGGTTTGACTACATGTAACTTTGCACATTTATTTCTACTGAACTATGAAGACTCAAGTGTCAGAACTCAATATTTTTGTCTGCTACCAACATTTTGTTTTGTCTTTGTACCACAAGAGGGCGCTGTGGCTCAACTGACTGTCTAACATGCATACACATATGGCAGTATGATGGAGTAGAGTGTGTAAACTGAATAACATTTTTAAAAAAGGTGACATTTAGGCTCTTTTTATTTGTCTTCAACAATATACAACAATTGAAAAGGCTGAATTCAGAGTAAACAAGTTTTTAGATTCCTGAATGAATGGTCGACATCAAAATAATTTATTAAGAAAATAAACATACGTCTTCAAAAATATACAGTCATTATGCTTTCATGAACACTGACTGAAATCTCAGTAAGTGAAAGATTTTTGTCTAAAGACACATTCACATTTGTGGTGAATCATAACAACTTACAGACATGTTGAAATACTTTCAGGTACGATGTGAGAGGACGTGTCAAAATGCAGTGTAATACTGTCGGTTCACCCTGGAGGAAATGTGAGCAGGTAGTCCACATGCGGTTCTCAGAGCCAAGATATAAACCCAGAACCGCCTTGAAGAGTCCGTAATTTAAACTGTTCCTCCTATTCCTCCGATACGGCCAAAATGTGGTATCGGTGAGTCTACGTGTCTATGCACTGATCCGATATCACATGATTTATTATCCCTAAAATGGGACGCGTTTTCACGATTCACTCTGCTCTAAATCTGGTTTAACCTGAGCCAGGCCATACAACAATGATATGATATCATATATATATATATATATATATATATATAGCTATATATACTATGTATACAATTTTACCATATATATATATATATAATATACATCATATATATACTATATACATATATAATATATATATATATATATATATATATTATATATATATATATGTATCCAACATAAATATATATAGTTATATATATATATATATGTATACAACATAGTAGATATATATATATAGTATATATATATAACTATATATGTATACATAACATACTATAATATATTAATATATATATATACTATATCATATATATAGAGAGAGACGAGAGGAGGAGAGAGAGAGAGGGAGGGAAAAAATGGTTTTGGAACATCTCTATTTGAACCCCTCCAGCTGTGTACAGACATTAACACCGCACACAAGTCTTACAAAACGATTCAAAAGTACACATGGAACACTTTAAAAACTTTCCTGTGAGGTGTATTTACTGCTGAGCTGGAAGTCCGTGTAAAAGGTGCATCCATATCGCGGAACAGCGAAAGCCTGGTTCACAGCATTTTTTCCTCTTCTTGCTTAACTCGGGTGTGGAGCCTCTGTTGCTTTCAAACTCTGCGGAGAGAAAAGCCACAATGTTCACTTATGACTGGAAATATTATCAAGGCTGAAAGAGAAACTAAATAGTTATCCGTGTGATTGGAGCTCAGTAGGGGTAAGTGGAAAATGTTTTTGTGGCTTAAGTGTTAAACTTTATCACGATAAAACTTCAGTCCATATTAATAATTATTGATCATTGTTCATATTTCTTTGTAAAGACGAGGAGATTAAAGATTGAATTTAACCACCTTATTTATTGTTATAAATTGTTGCTGAGTACCTCTTCATGGTGGACTGCCTGTGGGTTATTTCTTGAGATGTAAGAGAGGTAGGCTGTGACTGACGACATATTGTGTACTCCACAAGGGTGGATGTGGCTATGCTGATTCTTATCACATGCTCCATTATTCCATTATCAAGGGATATGAGAGGCTGTTTATGAGCCATAATGTTGGTATCTACAGCAGAACGCCCATTAACCGCATTCGTTGAGTATTAATCGTAACCCTCAATTTTCTCTTCTCTTTTTTACCAATCGTGTTTGTGTTATTATTGACATTATTATTATTATGGCATTTTAAAAGGGACTTATAATTTGTGAGTTCTCTCCATTTTCTCTTCACTTTCCACTAGCAGACTTTAAGCTGTCAACATGCTCTGCTGAGCAGTGTCCTCTTGCAACAGGAACAATCTTTTTTCACATAAAATAATAAAGCCAATCAATGAATGAGATATATATTTGGGTTTGGACTTTCACAAAGCTCACAGAAAGATTAAACAATCAATAAAATCTGTAATATAATCTGTGTCTTCCAGTGAACTTCTGTTCTTATTCAGACATTTTCTTTTAACCTCACCTGTGAGTAGTTGAACCGAGATATCATGGGTTCTGCTCTTGCGTAATCGGGAGGGTTGGCGTTGGGGTCGTAGCCCAGGCGAGCCAGCATGGGGGCAATTTCAGCCATGTCATTTATAACGTCGGAGGGAATGTGTCCAACCCACTTGGAGAGGGCATCCGTGTTCACCGGCTTCATCACCTGGTCTGTGGAGCGCTCAACCCTGCACACACACACACACAGTCAAACACAAGGTTAGTGTGTGTGTGTTAGACCATAATGTTAATTAGTTTGATAAGGAAGAGATGCTTGCCTGCGGACATTGAAGAGTGGCAAACTATGGAAGATTTAAAAGTTTTAACTAAAAAAAAGAATCAAATTCATTAAGTTAAGAGAAAAAGATAAATAACTGTCCTAATATATGTTGCTAATGTAATTGAAAATAAATGCATATATAAAAAAAGGAAATACATACAACAATGTGTATTTTTTTTGTTTTCTTCTTTGTTTCATTTGTTTTAATTTGGGCATTTTAAATATTCCATACCTATCAACCCGTCCACCCTACATAACTTACGCCTGTACACATATGATTCAGAACCACAACATGCCACATTTCGTGATAATTCAATTTCTGAGGAGGTTACAAAACATTAGTGTGACTAATATTGCGCCAACTGTTGCATAACTAATCAAAATAAGGGTGCTAATTCTCTCAGAATGTGGCCTAATTCCTTCAAATACACGCCAGGTTTGGGTTTTTGCGTTATGAAGCAGGCAGAGTCCCATCAAATCTCTTGAGCTTCTGCCCTGCAAAGAGATGCTCGTCTTGAATCACGACAAATAAGTAGAGCAACACAAATTAAACGTCTGTAAGCTTTACTTGACCTTTAAAAAGGTTCAGATGAAAAACTGTGGCAGGCGTCCTGGAGGCTCAGTGGACTCAAATATACGACTTGTGTTCTGTTCAAATCTGCTCACAACCTGGGCTGCACTTCAATTCATGCTGAGGTTTTTTTATGGATGGTTTTTAAAATTGTATGTTTTCATTAGTGTATAATCACCTGAAAATAAAAATATTATAAATGTTTTTTATGGGAGCGGGTTCTCTTCCACAGAGACCAGAACGGACAAACCAAACATTGGCTGTTTTTTGTGAGTTTCTCCTCGGTTGTAATCTGTAATCTCACTGCTAGATGCCATTAAATCCGACACACTGGTCCCTAAAAAAAGAAAATCAATGGGAAACATCACGTTACAGTGCAGCGAGTTCCTGAGAATCAATATGTTTTTTTTTTTTCTAGCCACCACTGTCAACAATCATAGAGAGAGAAATCCAATTCAGAAGAGACTAAAGCTAAAACGATCAGTCCATTAATTGATCAGTAAATCCACAGAGAAACAACTGGTAACAATTCTGATCATATATTAATTGTTTAAGTCGTAAATAAATGCCAAAAAACGGACTGGTTCCAACTTCTCGAATCATGGTAATTTTAAAATTAAAACACTTGTTTTTATTCATAATGTCAGATGTCCTTCAAGGAAGACACTAACTGCAGTAGAGGAAGGTCACTTGAGGGACATAAATAACACTAAGTAAGACCTAGATTGAATTTTCTGAGGAGTCCTGTGACTTCCCTGACCCTGCATTCTGACCCCTCCAGTGGACAGGGTTTCTTTTAGATTAATCAATAGAGTTTTCAATGGCCTGTACCGCCTCCTTTTTACCCACATCCTCTCACAAATGGCATGAAAATAATAAAAACCTTCAGAAAATATTAGTACGAGTAAATCATTAAAACTAGATGTCTTGAGCACTTACTCTTACTCTAAGATTTTTATATTCATTTCAATTCATTAACAAGCTGCACGGGTGGAAGCAAAACCTAATTATTCTGAGCAACCGCTTACAAACGTGTTTGGTTGACTGTTCTGACAGAGAGAGATGTGCGAGATGTGATCCTGAAATATACCCACTCCTAGTCAGCGAGGTGGGAATTCACAGGAGGAATAATTATGGCAAATAAAACACACAGCTAGATTAAGAGTTTTCTATCATTTACATGCATTTATATGGACTAACTATGGACAGTGGGGTTGAGCAGAGCAATTACTCCTTATTAAATAATTAATGTTTCATCACTGATAATCAAAGTGGTGTGTGAAATAAAAAATGTGCTCCGTTATTTAAAATCAGAGATAAAACCAGGAACAGTGTCCAAAAAAACAAAAGAAACTTCTAACAATTCAAGGCCTTTACAACTGAGTGAAGACAAAAATACTGCGTATGTTTATGTATTTCGGCCATTTCAGACCTTGAATAGCATGGCTAGATACTGTTGTGGGTATTCAGACAGTTTCAGTTTAGTGTGCTGAGGTTTAGAGATACATGTCTCTGAAACTTCTCTACCACCGCAATTCATTTCAACATTTAAAAAACCTCAGCGCATAAAAGTAAAACTATCTGCACGGCTCTATGCCACCGGAGTGAAGGAGGTAAGCTTGGAGCGCACACACACAAACACACACGCGCATTTCAAATACTCACTTGGACAGAGACACACCACCGGCTTTTCCGATCAGCTCTTCGTGGTGCAATACCGACGGGTCCCACTGCAGCTCTAGGAAGTGAAGCAACTTCCTCATTTCCCCCTCTGCGTGGAGGACGAGCTGCTCATAGCGGACGGGCATACATCTGCCCTCCCCTGCTGCCTGGCACTGACTGTACATGGTCTCCACCGCGCTGCTCCACTTGGTCAGACAGTCCCTGTAGCTGGTCAGGTCGAACCCAGAGATGGTGACCTGTGAATGGAGGCAGATAAGATTAACACGGGCAACCAATCGCGACAGAGAGTAAACACAGAATGGAAACTTCGTGTGGCACCAGTACGAACTTGCTTTGGAAACACGAGTTTGTGAGGAAGCTTGTCCGCCTGCAGCTCCCTGATAAGAGAAAAATACCCAGCATACCTTGCGTGATATCATGGAGTGGACAGTCGCCCGTCCGTCTCGTAGCATGAGCACAAATTTGGCTTTGGGGAAGATGCGCGACAGATATGAGAGAGACTTCAAGGCGAAGGGATCCTTGTTGCAAAGGCGAGGTGCAGGCTCCCCGTGGCCGACTATCACCTGAAACACACATAGAAACAGTCAATATGACAAGAAATACAACAAACCATTCCTTCTTAATAGTTTTTTTTATATGTAAAATATAAATGTGTCATTTACAACATGGAAGAACACTTATCTTATTAAAAACATTAATATTTCATCTATAGTGACTATAGATGTAAAAAAAAGATTACGCCCAGCTGAGAAATGATCTGGTTCATAATCAGAAAATCACAAACTCTAGTTTTTACACATCACTGTAGACAGTTTTCAGTCTTAATGCTAAGTGTGTACTGGCTGTAGCTTCATATTTAATAGACAGATATGAGTGTGGTATCAAACTTTCAGCAAGAAAGCAAATAAGTAAATTTTCCATTTGTTTGTGAAACTGCATAAGCAATTTTGTGTTAAACAGCCCTTTATAATTCCTTTAAATATTTAGAGACATATAAACAAAAAGTTATGCTACATGTGGGTTTTTTTTCAGGCTCATTTTAATTTTCAGCTTTTCAAATATGAGGAATTATTGCTTCTGTGTCATGTATGAAAGTACATTTAATATCTTTTGGGGTTTTGGATTATTGATCAGTCAAACAAGCAATTTTGAAGACATCATATTGGGCAATTTTAGTTTACTTTTCGAGCATACGTGATACATCAGTCGATTTAATCACGTTAATTGCAGCCTTAGAGGCAGATTAACAGATGCAGAGGCGTGTATTTGGCCTAATTCAACACAGCAGATTAGCAACGACCAGCTCACCTCTAACAGGAATGCTCGTACGGCCGAGTCCAACACCTGGTCAGTGACGCCGGCCTCGTCCAGTCGTATCCTCTCCTTCACCGAGCGGCTCCAGGTGGCCCGCATGGCCAAGAGGCGGGGAATCACTCGGGTCTCTTCCCCACACCGCACGTGACTGTGGGCATCCAGCATGACGCGCATCAGCGTGGTGCCGCTCCTGGGAAAGCCGCCGATGAAGATGAGGGGCGTGTCCTCGGGGAAGTATTCAGTCTGGGATAAGCTCTGATTGGCCGAGCCCAGGTTGAGCTCCATCCACCGGTACCGATGGCTTTTTGGGGGGCAGTCTATCCCGCTCATGCCCAGGTAGAGCAGGGAGGCGGAGCAGAGGAGCACGCAGCCCAGCAGAAGGCTAGATCTGGTGTTCCTCATGGTCGCAGGGTGTGTTTGGGAGTCAGATTCATAAAACAACAATCGGGGGCCACCTGTGGAGGATCTGCTTCTTAAATTTCAACAAAGGTTAGTTGAAGACTAAGCTACACACTGACACTCGGAAAATAACTGCGAGTAAAGACTGAGGGAGGCCTGACGGAGGCCCACAGGGCGCAGCTGGGGACTGGTATTCAGGTGAGGGCTGGGGAGACTCCTCACTCCTCTGCAGCTCCTCAGCCCTGCTGTCGGATAGCAGGGTCCAGGCCTGCTGCGCTCCACAGCAAGCCACGTCTCTCGCCCATCGCTCGTACCTAAAAACGGGAGAAGAGCGAGTCATACACCCGAGGAAGAGTTACACCACAATCAGTTTATATTGCTTACAACCAAAAAAAGAGGAAGCATCTGTTTTGCCAGGATTGCAAATAGTAGAGCAATGAGAGTACTGGCTATGAGCCTCACTGGCAGGTTTGTAGTAAAATGGTTGTGTAATAAAAAAGAGAGAGAGTCTGTACTGAGTATTTTTACTTGTGTCTAACGTGTAATGTACTAAAACTATTGTATATGTAACACTAAAAAGCTGTTTCTTATTTTGGTCTGTGGATTTCTTTCACCTACCAGTCGTCTTGGCCGGTGAGGCAAAAAGTTAAAAGTTGGACGCTGGTATGAGCTGATTTTTTTAGTCCATGCATGATTTCACAACTTGCCAAGTAACAAAAAAAAACCAACAACCAACAACCCATAAATTATAATGTTTTTAAAACTTAAATCAATAACATTAAGCCCTGGATGAGTGAGCTATTCGTAGCAAGCAGGGTGGTGTGTGATGGTTTGCCAAGAACACTTGTACACACTTTCAGAGGGGCTGAAATGAATCCAGTTTTATTTTTTTCCCTCAAAGCAGCTATTTTGCATCCTTCTCCTCATGGGGAGGCGCTGACTGTCGGCCATATCAAAGTTCACTGCGGCACGCAACGCAGATGAACTCAGGCTGCAGTGTATCTGAGGGCCGATAATTACAGCGTCCTCGTGTTTTTATTCTCACTGACAGTTTCTGCCACACAAACGCAAAGCAATTTATTTAGGATCAGATTAATATTGACCGTGAGCCACCCTGCAACTTCCCCATTTCTCTTCTGCAAAGTGCACAGGAACAGTTTCAGCAGCGCAAGCCGGCCTCCAATTCCTCTTCTTAGAAAACACAAGCTTGCAAGAACTGAATTATGTTGAACAAATGATTTCACTACAGTGTTTGAATTACTTTTAAAGCCACATTACAGCTTTAAAACTCTATAAAATCAGGACTCAAACAGAAGCTCTAAAGCAAAATGTCTCCCTCTCTCAGAGGTATTTTGGTGTCCGTCTGTTCAGACTGACTGTGCAGGGATCCTGACATCTGGATGCCACGTGGGGAAAACTCCTCTTCCTGCCTGGAGTAGCTTGCCTGTAAACTTCAGTCTGACGATCAAAGCAACAAAAAAAAAAGGGGAAGAAACAGCTGGAAACGAGGACATCCCGGCCTGGTTGGGATACTTAGGTGCTGCCTTAAGCCATGCTAAGTCCAGTGGTATCCACAAGCTTTACATGCAACTCTGATGCATTTCCATGCAGAGATTAAGCCACTTGGAGTTTGCAGAGAATTAGGCCAGTGGTTTAAGACGAGTCATGCTGCTTTTTCACTTTTTTAAATGCTGATGAAAATGTGTGTTTTATCACTTTAGGGCTGCAACTAACAATTATTTTCATCATCCTTTAATTTGTCAATTATTCTCTTAAATAATAATTCGCTCTTGCGGAAAATCCCCATCATGATTCCCTAAAGGAAGGGAAACGATGGATATTTGGCATTTCTGCTGGGAAAAAAAGGAATTAAATAATAATTAAATTATAAAACAGTTGCAGTTTACTTTTATGTAATATAACAGGCCAATAATACCCAAACTATCTGCCCAGTTAGACCCTACTAAAGGTTTTTTTCCTCCATAATGGTGAAAGATTAACCGTGTTTACCCGCTCTGATAAATCTGGGGACTGACCTTGAAAAGGCCACCGTGTTTGCTGATCAGGGACAAACCAACAAACAAGTCTACAATAAGCAGAAAACAGCGACCCGTGATCACAGTTGGTCTGTAAACGGTAGTTGTGGTGGCTGGCAAGACTGCTGACATTTTTTCGAGCAGAAGGTTGTCAGGAAACCCAAAGCCAGTGTCACCTCTTTACGGTTCACAGGAGGGAACACACTGACTTCCTGTTAAAGGGATAGTCTGAACAGGGAGATCTCGTCCTACGTTTACCCTGAACTCGGGTTACAGCGTTAACACACGACAGTCGAGAAGCCTGTAAACTCTTAAAGCTGTTTCCTGAAAGCTTCCACATTTAACTGAAGTAGTTAAAGTAGTTGTATGTATTTTTGCGTGGACTATTCTCCTTTCTATACTCTTTTTGTTGCTGGGTTGCAGATGTTGGGGTGATCCAGATGCACATTTGTGACATCTTTGACCAGCAGGTTGTCTAGAGATCCAAACCCTCCTTGTTCCTCACACAACAGGGGGGACGCAACTCCGACTTCCTGCTGAAGGGAAAGTGTGAGAGGAACATTTTCCCTTCACTTTTGGTTGATGCTTTACTGCCCAGGAGCGTGTCCATTAGTGGAACTGTTCTCCACTGAACGATTATCTTCATTTATTACTCATTTTTTCCATCTACTTCTGTATGAGCTTCCTCTTTTAGTGGCAAAAACTGCGAAATAAATGCCCTGAAGGCCACATATTCAGTTGCAGCTGCTTCTTCATGAACACTTTTTCTTGCACAGTATATGTGGTGAACCAGGTGCGTGTTAGTGGAAACAAATCAAAGCTTTCAGCGGAGGCAATAGTGTGTGTGTGTGTGTGTGTGTATGTGTGTGTGTGTGTGTGTGTGTGTGTGTGTAAAATAGGATTTACTCCAC